AAGAGCTTTAATATTTAGCAATCACCTTGTCCCTCCGTCCTTTTCCCTGTCCGTCAGTTCATTCGTCCATGCAGTCTTGTCCAGTTCATAAATTTGTAATGGAGGAAAAAATGTAAATTCAAACATGACACAAAAATTACATATAACGTGAGAATGTGTCTCATCTTAACGTATGGACATTTGGGCAAATTCAAGGTCACTGTGCAAAAGTTTTATTTGGTCCATAACTTTCTACTGACAAGAGACGCATCGCTCACGTGAGCACATTGGCTAAGAAGAAGCAGAAATCGGTTCAGTATTGAAAGAGGGGGGGGGGTCAAACTTTGATTTACACTACGTCAGGATGCATCCATATCAATATTACTAATTATGGCTTAGCTGTTCTTAAACAGAAGAATTTAAAGATCCCCCTCTGTTTTCCTATGTAAAAGTCTGATCTCTCATTATGGCCCCACCCTATCCACCCTAAATTTGAACAAATTTGAATCTACACTACCTGAGGATGCTTCTATAATAATATGACTAATTATGGCTTTGCTGTTCTTGAGCAGAAGATTTTTTCAAGATGATTCCTATATATTCTTGTGCAAAACTTTGACCCTCTGTTGTGTCCTCCAACCCCTGGGGATCATAATTTGATTCTACAATACCAAAAAAGCGTATTGACCATTGATACTTCACACAAAGATTACTAATGACCAGAGGATGTATCCTTAAACCAATGTCATTTTGACAAGTTCAGGGTCACCTTTAGAAAAAAAATGTATAATTCCTGTCCAACATATAGCTTATGTTGTAATGGAAAAACATTAGAAGCTCATTCTCGGCACCATTTTGAAAGATTTCTTATTAACTGAGACTGTGTTAGAACCTTAACCATGGACATTTGTGAACGTTCAATGTAACTTGCAGAAAAAGTGTATAAATTGAGTCTGTTTATCATTAGAAATGGCCACTTTTGTAGCATTTGTGTTCATCAGACGTATCAAAGTTTATCTAATTTTAGGTTATCTGAGTGATTCGGGTGACCTATACTGTTTTTGTCCCCCGTGTGCATTGTGCTGGTTGCGTACTTTAGAATATTCTCAGCATACTCTCTTGAACAGCAGAACCAATTTCAACCGATTTTGATGTAGAGCTTCTAAGGATACAAAGCTCAATGGCCCTGAGTGCCGAGTAAAGGTCTAAATTTGAAGCCCTTCACCGGTATATGGTGACGTCTCTATATGAGTGAAAAATTCTCGAACGGGACGTAAAACAACACACAATCAATCCATTTTAGTTATCTTATTTCGTTATATATGTTTAGATCTCGCTTATAAGTTTTCAAAACAGCATCATTTTATAAATATTTGAACTGGTAGGGACAATCCGTATTCCAGACACCGGGTAAATCCGGACCTCCTGAATCCAATATGAAAACCATCTATCCTTCTGTATTCAATAATTCAGAAGTAAATGAAGAATTAGATAGATTACACAATCAATATGTACTGGTCCCAGCTAACAAAGCAGGTAACAACATTGTCTTTGTTTGTAAGACTCATTATTTTAATTGTATTTTAGAGAAACTTGGATCTAATTCTGAAACTTATACTCATAGTTCCCTTTCTAAGGAGGAAACTCTTGAAAATAATAATTCAGTTTTAAAGATTTTTTTTTTATTTTCCAAACAATCAAACTGAATTTGATTTACCATAGATATATTGGATTCCTAAATTACATTAAAAACCTTACAAACAAATATACAAAGCGAGTTCCAGTAAATGTGCTACCAAGCCTCTTTCCTTACACTTCACTAAAATATTAACAGCAGTGAAGGAGAAACTTCAGGAGTATTGTACAACAGTGTATTCGAGAAGTGGCATAAATTAGATTTGGATACTTAAAAAATCCAAGAAACTTTTAGAAAATTTGAATTCACAATTTTTTTCCAAAATCAATAACATCAAAACGTACGACTTTTCAACACTTTATACAACCATTCCTCGCGATAAATTAAAGTCCCTAGGCTTTTTGACATCATAATCAGCTGCTTTTTAAATAAAAATGGAACTTAAATTTACTTACCTTGTGTTTGGTAATTTGCATAAATTATGTTGTTAAAGACATTCTAAATGTACATGTAAGTACTCCAAAGTTGATATGAAAAGGATGCTCGAGTTTTTTATTGACAATATTTATGTAGTTTTTGGAGAACAAGTCTTCCAACAATCCAACAATCTGTCGGAATTCCCATAGGTACTTAATGCGTCCCGTTATTAGCAGTCCTTTTTGTATTCATATGAAGCAGAATTTATTCAAAAACTTCACAGGACTGAAAGTCTATTATTAGATCATTGATTTGGAGACAAACTTTTATTAACAGTTATTTACATTGTATCATCAAGCATGACTTTCTCGCTTGCCCCCGCCCTCCTCACTCTCTCTCTCAGTTTCTTCATAACGGGGGTACGACAATTAGAATAAAAGAATTGTTGAAATAGGGGGAATATCCAGCAAAGAACGGTAACTCGGATAATAAAATTCATTAATGCAGAAAATTACATTGTGGATAATTTTGCCAAGCCAACATGAAACTATATATTCAAGAAAACAAGCTTTTCAAAATGTCTGTGTATTCAAATATATGTAAATGTTCATTGATTGGATTATAAATCCATCACTTTATTACAACTGCAATTTAGAAGAACTTGGTTTTATTTCCTTATCTGGTACATCTAACCCAACCTGTACTCACAGTTCCCTTTCAAAGGATGAAATTCTTCAAAATCACCTTTCAGTTTTAAATACGTTTAACAGTCCAGTAAATGAAAGCGGGTTTGATTTACTTTACCTATATGGGATTCTAATACTTCATTAAGATCCTTACAAAGATATATTGCAGGGTCAAGTTAGTTTTCAACAAAGCCTCTATCCTTATTCCTCACCAAAATTTTAATTGCTGATGAGAAACTTTATAGACTATTGTACCACAACTTATTCAAGAAGTGGATTCAAACGTGGATTCTATAAACCTCCGAAGAAATTTTGGAAACTTTAAAATCTCAAAACTTTTCGAACACCAATAGCATCAAACATATGAATTTTCTATGTTTTATACAACCATCCCTCAGGCATAAATTAAAGATCAGGCTTTTTGACATCATAGTCTAGTCAACTGCTTCCTCAATAAAAACGGAATATTTTCTTGTGATTGTTCATCTACAAAATTATATTGTTAAACATCATTCTGCTTCTACATACAATTACATGTACTCTGAAGTACTTTTAACAATCTGAGATGGATCAAGAACTCTTAAGGCAGTTTCAATAGAACTACAATCGCTAAGGTGTCCGATGTTCATGGAAATGCTTGAAAGGTGATTAAAAGCAATTGCAAATTTCATGTCGTCCATTCCCTAACAAAAAAAATACTTTGTAAACTATAGTTAACTACAATAGTTTACTATAGTTAACTATGGTATCGAAGTAAACACTTTGGAACTTTGATTTACTACAGTAAAAACTTTGGAACTTTGATTTACTATAGTGAAAACTTTGGAACTTTGATTTACTATAGTAAAAACTTTGGAACTTTGATTTACTATAGTGAAAACTTTGGAAATTTGATTTACTATAGTAAAAACTTTGGAACTTTGATTTACTAAAGGGAAAAAAAAATTAAAATTTGACAAACTATAGTATAAACTTTGATACTTTGATTTCTTATCGTAAAACCCGTGGAATTATGTTTTTGATTCCCATTATATACCCGACCCTTCCCCTAAAAAAAATAATGTACGAGAAATGAATTTTTTAATGTAAGGTTGTTTCTCGCGCCGATAGATAAGCAACATTTATTTAAATGTATTTAATTTAATGCAGATGTAATGTAATTTTTTTATGGAGAAAGGAAAATAATATACTATAAAATAAAAATTGCGTAATTTAGAACCAAAATTTATAAATGATATTGCATTTCAATTAACTAATTCGTAAATTGAAATTGAGACGTACAACAAACCCCAGCCCCCATCAAACCCCGGGCCACCTCCACCCTCTTAAACGGCAAAATAAGCGAAAAACTATTAAAATACTTTAATAAGTTGACAAAATATTGTGAAAACTTTGGAACTTTGATTTACTATAGTGAAAACTTTGGAACTTTGATTTACTATAGTGAAAACTTTGAAACTTTGATTTACTATAGTGAAAACTTTGGAACTTTGATTTACTATAGTGAAAACTTTGAAACTTTGATTTACTATAGTGAAAACTTTGGAAATTTGATTTACTATAGTAAAACATTTGGAACTTTGATTAACTATAGTAAAAACTTTGAAACTTTGATTAACTATAGTAAACTATAGTTAACTATAGTTTACTATAGTATTTTTTGTTAGGGTTATAGCAATAGAACAGTTTATTGACAAAATCCTCCGATACAGAAAAGTGAGTTTATCTTATTTAAAGAATATCTTCAAGAAACCCATTTGTGAATTGCCTAGCTTTATAAGTAGAAGGTGTTGACACACAACGACTTTTCTATGACACACAATGACTTATTTCTATGAAATGTCGAATCTTTACGACATTTCTTAGTATATATGTCTTTTACAGCTAGAGTATATTTGACTTATTTAGTGTACAATTGCTCAGACTTTATTCAAACATAAAAAAACTTTTTACAAGTTCTATCCACAGACAGTGCAACATCATTCATTCAATAATTGCATTGAAATAAGAGATTAACAAACAATGATCAAGCTCAAAATTCAATAAAACTCAAGTCGAGATCAGGACAAAACCATGCATTTAATGTGTGAAGGAGAGTTTATATACACATGTGCGCCGTTTAAATATCATTTTAAAAATTTTAAACAGGAACTTTTTAATCTATCTGCCGTAGGTAAATTATATTTTCATAATTTCTGAATAAAATTCACAACACTTGATTTCTGGTTATAGTTTTCATAATTTCTGAATAAAATTCACAACACTTGATTTCTGGTTATAGTTTATTCGCAATACATGTCATAGTCGTATATAAATAAATTTTACATTATAAAACTTTACAAAGCAAACAGTGCATTGATATAAGAATAACGTGAAGTTTGTAAAAAAAAAATCTAATTATAATGCTTTTTTTTCTTTACTTTGGACGGATAAAGATAATGCACTCTATTGTGGTTTGTGAACTGGATATCAAATCCTAAAGGACATTTTTGATATATAAGAAAAATTGACTTCCTTTTTTTTTTTTTTAAACAACATGTAGTAGCATTGATTGCGTAGAATATTTTATACGATGTACTTGAATATAAGAACGAGTATAAAACACAATGGAAGTGTGGAGTAATGGAAAGAATATAAATGGGCCTTCGCAGTAATACAGTGAATCACTTCATTTGGGAGGTACACTGAAAGTTATGGCAAGATTACGTTTAGGATTTCTGATTAATAAAACGACCAGCAGGAGATAATTTCACTGAACTTGAAAGGCTGGCAAAGATTACGAGAAGGAGATTACATCTAATCTTATGGACTAAAATATGCGTTTAAATCTCCAAAGGAAACGTTAAATATGCGATTAAATTTTCTTTAATAAGATATATCATTTCACATTTCTATTCGGAGCGTGCAGGAGGTAGTAAAGTATAAGGTTATCGGCATAAGCTCTTTAAAGTAAGATATTATTTGATAAGATTTTGTAGGTAAAATGAATTAAGAAATTGCAATGAATCTTATCTATTCACCCAGATACATGTACCTTTGCTGAAGTGAATTTTGTTTGTTTGCGTAATATCTTCGACTTTTGGCATTGTAAAGCAATTAAAAATATTGACATAAGAGCTGTACCTCTTTTACTACTGGCATATTGTGCTGTAAAAATTCTCTAGAATATTGGCTTATGAATAGCTAAACACCTTAACCATCCCATCACTCTGAACTATGACCATCCGATTGCTTCCGCTTACTCGTATTGCCACGGGTTTTTCCAACGCGCTCTCTATTCCAAGTACATGTCTCTGAAAAATGCCATCACTGGCCAGCAATTGTACGCGATTGTTACCGAAATCTGCTACAAAAAGGTTCCCAAGCTTGTCCACGCATGCGCCCTGTGGTTTCTTCAGGCTATTTTGACCATCTGGTTTGTACCGGAAAACGACCCTTCCAGTGTGGTCTATGCAGATAACGGCGTTTTGGCCGACATCTGAAACGATGACAGTTCGATCTGGTGTTGCTGAGACATATCGCGGCTCGTTGAAAAGTACCCGATCACCTGCTCCACCCCCAAACGAGCGCAAGATGCTCCCATCTAGGTGTATTATATCAACTATCTGGTCGCGCACTGACGAGACAATCAGAAAGGCGTCTTTTTCGGAGTAAGAAATTCCATCGTATTGTCGTTCGGTCTTTGCGCGTTTGATCAGCTGCATGGTTTTTCGTGTGGCGAGGAAGATGACTAGCTTGCCTATCATTGTAATGGCAACATCATCTCGGTTTCCGCAAGTAGTGATATCCCTTGGCTCGTCCTCTAGCTGTACATAATCAACTAAATCCCCGAACTGCAAATAAAGAAAATCTAGATATCATTTTCATTATTTCATAGAAATAAGCTACTGATTTCTATTTTTTTAATTCATTTTTTCAAACCACTGATTTCAAAAAGATTGATAAACCAAAATTTTGATTTATTTTTTTTTTAAATTTAACTATCCAGGGTATCTTTCACTAAGATCTTACGACATAAATCTCAATGAAAAAAATAAGGTTAAATAAAAGAGCGATATCTATCCTCAAAGGATATATTTTTCGGATGTACAAACATACAGCTGTTGAACTAAATCAACTAAATATTTGATGGCAAGGTTTATAGACGAAATGTCATTAAACAAATTTTACTTTACAGTTTAAGGAACTAATATTTGATGGCAGGGTTTATAGACTAAATTCCATTAATCAAATTTTACTTTAAATTACAAGATACGTCTACTAGGACACATAAAAGAATAATTTACGACCTGTTTCCAAACAAAATAAGAAACCTTCAATCTACAATTTATTACCTTACTGAACTTCTGAATGCGTTTGTTCTTGCAGTCTGTAACAATAATGTCGTCTGATGACGTACAAGTGACACCCCACGAACTAATTCCTTCGTCAGAATCTCCCTCATCCACCATTAGATCTCCAAGTCTGTCAAAGCTTTCGACAAAACGTTCTACTGTTTCATCCAAGATGAATTCTAGTCGAACGGAGGGACCTTTTTGTTCCGTGTTACCAATGGCACCCTGGCAAGAATCTAGCTTTTTTCGTACTTGGTTATATGCTAGCAGTATCTCCACATCGCTTCCGTAGCGTAAAATTGTCTGCATCCTGTCATTCGCAGCTTTGATTGATTTCAACCCTGATTTTCTTGGTTCGATGCGATCTTGTAAAAGCCCTTTAGCCTTTTCTGCCTGCAGCTGGAGATTCTTTAATAGAACTGATTGATACTGGCGAACTCTGTTACAAATGGAATCGCAGACGGTATTTACTCTTTCTTGAGCTTCATGGATACTACTTTCTAATGTTCTATCTGGCTGTCCTATTCCACCAGCATTCTCTACGGTCATTTGTAACTTTTGGAGTCTTGTGATGACGTCGTTGACATCTGTCCTGGAAGTTAAAGCGTCTGCAACGGTGATAACGTTTTCACATCTTCGATGGGACACAGCCATACATTGAACACAGAGGGGTTCTCGACAGTCGACGCAGAACAGAGTGATAAGTTCACTGTGCTTTGAGCAGGGAACTTTGTTCTTTTGCTTCATCAAAGTTTCCAGAGGAATTTTTCTCATTTCTGCAATAGCTAGACAAGAGTGTCCGGCTGTTGTTTTCCCATGAAGGTGAACTTTAAGACATACCTCACAAAGGGCATCATTGCAGTCCATACACCAGTGTGATGCTGGTGTATTTTCTTCTCTCCTTTCACAAATATCACATTCTTTGCCTTCACACATTGCACTTTGTAACTCCACTAGCTTTGTTAGAAAGAGGTCGTCTTGAAAAGCGTGTGCACACTGTCCTGGTAGCGCACCCGAAGGAATTTCACATTTCTCTTCGCACATTGGGCATGCAAAATGTCTCTGTCCATTTTGATTCAATGACTTAGAAATATGGTCCTCTAAACATTGGCAACAAAAACTGTGGAAACATGGTAGCACTTTGGGCACGTTGTAAACATTTTTGCAAATGAAACATTCAGCGATCGGGTCAGAAAGTTTCTTTTCTGGGGTTTCAGGGGTGGCATTTTCGGAATGGTCAACTCCATTTGTTAAAGGTGTTGAAACTTCCTCCTCCTTTGACTCCATTTTTATCGACTAACTCAACTGAAAGTCATAGAAAGCATGTTATTAGAAAAAGGCATTGAAAGTTAGCACTTTTATTCCTAGATTTAAGTAGATTATCTTAATAAGTATTGTCCAGATAAATCATTGTTACGTATTTTTAAACCTTGCTGCTCTCGAAGAAATTCCTCAGACCGATTACTGAAGCAATAAAGATATAACTCTGTATAACCTAAATCTAACGTTGTTTCCTGCCAAACCTCGATATTTTGGAACTCAAAGAATTTTTTCTGCTAAGGGCAACAATAGTGCTAGCTTCGGATGTCTCTGTAAATCACATTCATTCAATGAAAAGTGGCAATTTTGAACAAATTTCTTTGTTTCCTGTACAAATATTTTGTGGGATAATCATTTTGGTGAGCAAGGGTGATCAGCATAAGTGGATTACAGCCACTTGCCTGTAGATCGAGATTCCTGGCTAATGCCTTTGGATTTCAACAATACAGATATTTAATCACCTGTCATATTTACATTTAGATATTTTCATTCGTTATATTTGTCTGTCAGCCAAAAGTTTTGAATTCCATGGCTTTCTATGGTAGAATAATTTATTTAACATAGAAGGTAAACACTTTAGGAGTCGAGATTATAGATAATAGAGGGAAAAAACTTTTTTACGTTTATGTTAAGTCATATTTCAATAAAGTGAATGAATTCTTCAATATACAATATGCAGCTGAGAAGAGTATGCATTAAACATGAGTTACACTGTATCATCTTAATTCTAATATGCATATAATGGAACCTATGTTAAAAGATTTTTCAATGCGAAAGTTGAAATAGCCCTAGCCTTTCTCTTGAAACACATATTCTGATATCATATCAGTGATTACCTGCAAGCTTTTAATTTTTGCTAGATAACACTGCATGATGATTGTATCTTATTTGATGTGAATATTTATCTGAATATTCCATTGTGCCACCTTTGGATCTCCGCCATCGAAAGAGTTCTGATGAGTAATCTACAAACTTTATTTTCTGTGTGGAAATTACTACGCGTAGTTTTTGACATGGGACTTCCTCTACCCACAATAAAGCTTGTACGAAATGAATATGGCACACCTTTAATCAATTATGAATAAAGCACATGAACCATGTAAACTTATTTGTTCTATCTTCGTGTCATCGTTTTGTGTGCCTTGTTTCGGTTGTGTACTCACTGAACTGTAAATATTTGTTTTAAAACAAAGGCCTTTTAAGGACTGAGATTAAGTTGATGATATTCATGATGAATCCTGTTAAGCCAAAGCACATTTTAGTTATAATTCTAAAATCAAAAAGTAATGCATACTTAAAGCATTGTAAATGTGGCCACTGATCAATACACTTTAAAGAATGTTATCTGCATGTTTAATTGTGAAAACTCTACCCGTCATGATGTACAAGCTTGATGAACTGGTTGTCTTTATGGAAGTAAAAAATCTTTATTTTTAACTTTATATTTACTTCTCTAAAGTTTTATGAAAATAACATCATTAAATTGTACAGAATGCACATATTACTTACATAAAGATATTTTTTATTACTAACTTTGAAGGCATTTATTTTACTTTTTAAACAAGATGTGTTTGAGAAACATTTATGCACCATAATGACAGCTGATGGCCAAGGTTGTTTCACAAATGTGGGACAAACGTCAAGGTCATGAGGTCAAAATGTCGGTACCCAAAAAGGTCTCGTCACAAACAATAAACAATAGGGAAAAAACTTGCTCCAACTGTTCAAAAGATATGGAAAAAGTTAAAGTTTTTCAATGTAGGTCAAACTCCAAGGTCAAGATCATAAGGACAAAACATGTTGGTACCCAAGGAAAGGTCTTACCACAAGAAATATACACGTGAAATATAAAAGCCTTAGACCCATCCATTCAGATACCGGTTTTATACCCAACGTTTAAGTTTTTCAAAGGTAGGTTATACTGCAAGGTCATGAGGTCTAAATTACTGGTACTGAAGGAAGGCCTTGTCAAAAGGAATGCCTAAGAAAACTATGAAAGCTGTAGCACCCATCGTTCTACAGTTATAGCAATGTTAAAATTTTTCAATTGTAGGTCAAGCTCTTGAGGTCAAAACTGTCGGAATCCTAAGAAAGGTCTGGTCACAGACAATACTAAGATAAGTGAAATAAAAAAGTTCTAGCTCTATCCGTCTAGAAATTATGGTCACTGTCAAACTTTTTGAAAGTAGATCAAACTCCAGTGACAAGGTCAAAAGGTATAATAATGTTGTACCGAAAAATAAGGTCTTATCACAGGAAATACACATGTGAAAAAATAAAAACGCTATCAGCAACCGTCTTAAAGTTTTGCCAAGGTAAAAGTTCGTTAAAATTTTGCAAAAGTAGGTCAAACATCAATGTCAAGATCAAAGGGTCAAATATGTTGATACCTAAAGAAAGGTCTTGTCAAAAGGAATACACGTTGTGAAATATGAAAGCCTCAGCACCAACCGTTCTAAAGTTATGGCAAGGTTAATTTTTAGGGGACACACAAAGACCAAAATTGTGTGCCCCCGATCTTCGATTACATGGTCATGAAAATAATTATAGCACAGGAATAATTTTCAATAGCAGTCATCAAAGATATGAGATATACTTACAAAACAGTCTTATAATGCTTGTTAGGATAGTCACTGATTTGAACTCTAAATTGCAGGTATAGTTAGTAATAGATCGATACTTAATTAAGTACAACCTGCCTAATTTATATGGATGCCACTGCTTACACATGTATCACTGACAAATATAGCAATAGCATAACTTTCCATTTGATACCTTTAATAATTAATAAGTATGGATTCAGGCTTCAGGTATCAAGTAATGAATGAGTTCCATTCCTGTATCTCATCTGTTATGCTTTGATTTGACTTGTCTGTAAGATCACTGTTATCAATTTAGGAGAATTACGACAAGCTTGATATTTATGGGAATATTATTAAGTGTTTAATCAGTAGCATGGTGCCCATATATTTCTTTTTACACTCGTACAAAAAATTTAATGTAATTTTTTACAAACATATACTGCTGTTGAGGAAAGTCAAGGAAATTTTCTACTAGACTGCGTACTTTCAATACCGACCTTCCAGTTGACATGATATTTGGAAAACTTCCAGACACGTGTGAAAGGCTGTCACTACTTGGGCTGAAACTTGTCCAATAAATGCAGTATATACAACTGTATATGTCTACCAAATATTTCCTCCAAGGGACTTCAAAGAACCACGCCTAGAACATTTAATCTTAGCGATTTTTGAGGAGTTAAAAGATAGAGCTGGTCAGATGCTAGTTGTTAAACATGATGATAAAATAATCAGGACTCAAAGTTTACTGATGGTTCCAATTTCTTTGAACAAATAGATGCATAGATTGTTCTATGTGACACTGCCCTGGGCAGCTTTCTAGGATTTACTTCAAGGAGTTTATTTGCCATTTAATGACCCTCTGTAGTCAAACCATGTGCTTATTTTGAATATAATTCTGATTGACATTTCTAGAGATTGGTCCGTTTTAAAAATGTGAAATTCGTTTTTTAAGATTTTAAAAATATTCCTAAATATGACACTTAAAGTACATTAATAAAGGTTTGATGATTATCCTGGGGCAAACATTGAGTACATAACAAAAATCTTATCGTTGAATTGCAATAAAAATGTCATTGATGGCACTGCAAGTCAGGACAAGCTGATTAAGATGTAACTCCATTTGTCTGAAGAGAAAATGTTAACTCTTATATAAAATATTTTTAGAGGGTCATTTCTTTTTAAAATGTACGTATATCTGTCCTTTTTCAATAAATACAGGTATCTTGCAAATCAAAACCTTAAACAACTTCTTTCAAAATAAATTTAGTTCGTGAGCTGTGTCTTTTTACGAGAATCCTTCTTGATAAAAGATTGGAAAGAAAATAAAAACAGGTGACTTCAAGACCATACTTGACATTTTTTTGAAACCAATTAACCCAATATGAAAGATTATTATGTTTACTGGGAGTTCAGGAACGCCAATTCAGTGAATGATGAATACCAGATTTAAAGAGAGGCAAAATTAAATGGGAGGTATTGAGTATGCTTCTTTCAATCTTCACCTTTAAAATTAAACCGTGTCCTGATCAATAAAGAAAAGCTGAACACGTCTGTCTTCGCACCTACACAAAACTGCTATGCTTTTCAAAATTCAAATGTTCAAACCTTTTATATTTTTTTCAAATGTAAAGAGACTTATCTGTTTAATTCAGATAAGCATACACCTGTGGAATACTGGGATTAAGAACTGAATTGCAAAAATAAAAATCATATATTTAGGGATCATTGTATAACTATTTCTAGAAAAAAAAAATCGATTTTAAGATAAATAATTGAGGTGAATTCTTAACTTCATCTGAGAAAGCCATTTCGTTAATGACAAAATCAATAGAGAATACCCCCCTATTTCTGAAACATAATTCGTACCACAATTCTTGTAAAAAGCTCACGTAGAATGAAATAAATAACAGACAAATTGGTTTGGAACAATTCACATTCACTTAAAGGGAAATTTCGCGACAGTAATAGATTTATCGAAAATTGCACATTATTCAGCAACAATAGAGTTATTGGTGGAGGGCAGGTAATGGACATTTTGATAAATGGGAAATTCATGGATTTTGTGCGGGTTAGGAAAAATACGCTGTACATGAAATTCGATCGACGACGTTTTTAACAATGATTTCAGAGTACGAAACGCTACAGGAAACATAAAATTGAAGAATGCATGATTTTTCTAGCAATGCTAAATTTCGTCAAACCTGAAGTTAAGAAAATAACAAACTATTTATTAGGGAAAAAATTCTTATAGACATACTTACGTATACTGCTCAGTTATATTTGTTTATATACATTTTCAGTAGTGGATATATACGTGCACTGTCCCATTAATAAAAACCCCCGTACTCACATGTCACAATTGATAATAATTGCTGCAATTTACAATACGTACCTGTTAAGTTCTCAAGATCACTCCAAGATAGATCTGGTTTTGTTTCTTATCTCGTCATCTCGAACTCAGATGTGTGGTTTAAAATTCAAAACCAGTTTCCATAAATGTCAGAATTTAAGATATAGACCTTGACAATTACAACATTGATCTTAATTAACTTGGACTAGATCTTCGCGCCAAAATCATGGTCTCAGAGCAAGATCGTTGATTCCAAAAAACTCCTCCGGGGGATTAATAATCCTCATTTAAACAGCATAGCATTGAACAGCTTTAGAAAATGTAGCTGTCAGTATTTGATAATAAGTTATGTACATACACCCCGGCACACCTTTGTACAAGACGTTCCACGATCGATCGCTTACAGGTAAAAATCGATCAAGCTGGACCTATATTCCCTGGCGCAATAATATAGTTAACAACATGTCTGAACAAATATTTCTTTACCTTGTATGCCCTGTTTATCATCAAAAATACACTATTCATTCAAATAGATGTTGGTCTTTGTAAGTTTATAGAAAATATTTGTTTACTTGAAGTTCATATTGTAGTTTAAAGTTTGAATTTGCACATTGACTTCAATGCACCAATAGATTTTTTAATATTAAGCACTAATTGGGTGTACTGTTAAGAAAAAAAAATAAAATTGTTCTATGGCAAAATTTAATTCAGGTCATGATCAGAATGTTTTGTTCAAAGATTAAATGCCAAGTTCAATTCTGCGGTTGAATGACATCAAATGCGAAGTCAGAAAATACTCGGCAAGAATAATATTGGATTTAAATAATTATCTTTACATAGGATTAACGACATGAAAGGCAGAAAAGGACTGCCTTCCGGTTTTTTCCTCTTAAATTTAAAAAATCTATATTTTCTACATAGTTGATTAAAGTTCATTTCAGGAGGGGGAAGATAACTATCGGGATCAAACTTTCGTTCTGTTTTGAAGAAGTGAAAATCCCCGTCAGACTGGATCCTCCACTTTAAATAAATTAACGTTGTTTAATTGTTTTAGAATTGAAATACTTTTAAAAGTGCATGTATTCTTTAAATAAACCGAAAAATATACTCATTATCGAAAAACCTCAAAACGCTTAGGAAAAGGGTAAATTTCTATTGAAATCCCCCCCCCCAATTATATCACATTGTTGGGGTTGATACCCTCTTGACATAAGAAAGTCATCTGGGTTCTGTTTTTTTTCTAATTATTGGTGTTTACATTAATTGCTTTTTTAATAAACCTTTTTCAGCAATCTTCTCCCGAAAATTCATTGAAATATGAATATTGCAAAAGAACATTTCTTTCAAACGCCTTCAAATATATATCAACGTATCTTAATATATATATATACATGTGTGTATATATATATATATATATATATATATATATATATATATATATATATATATATATATATATATATATATATATATATATATATATATATATATATATATATATATATATTTATATAATGACGGACATTTTCCTGTATGAAATTCGTTACGTATCGTGAAACAACAAATCAGAAAAAGATAATCTAATATTCTTCGTAAATACAAATTTAAGCATAAGCCTTACACATATCAAGAACTTGTAATTATGACAAGTGGCTTGCAAGGTACTCACATTTTCTTTTTTTTAAATTCTGTGTATTATTATCACCAAAAAGTTTTACAATTTGTTTTAAATTTGAATGTTAAAATCATATTGGTATGATTCTCACACTGTTAAGATTCAGCATCACTTTTAATCATATTAATGATATCATTGTAGCATTTTGTTGGAGCATCTAGGCCCCAGATGAAGTCGAGATGTTCCCATTCGGGTATGTTTTTATTTGATCTGACGTTTTTCAGTTGTGGGAGCAGACTCTTCACATCTGTAGGATCTGCCAACCAGTCATGTCCTCCAGAAAAAATGGCTACCGGTGTCTCCATGTTTGTGACGTCATACAATGGAGGTGTCGTCTTAAGAAAGATATTCATACAATTTTATGATACATATAGCATCAATGTCATTTAGGTGTCTTTATCTATGCAAGATGTGGTAAACAATACCGGTATTATACTCATTCACTCGTTAAATCCACTTTTCATAAAATACATAATAGAATTAAGAATACATTTGCGCATTCTTTAACATCTCATTTTAAAAAAAATGTTAAATTATTATCTGAAGTAAAGTCTACCTGATTATAATGTTTCATATTTTCTGCAGCAGAACCATAATCATACATCAGAAAATTGCCATACAAAACGGCCTGTAAATGATTTTTTTTAAAAACTATAAATGGATATACTCTTGCGTAGCTAATGAGCACATCTAATGTTTTTCAATTTCCTTCTTAAATAAATTCAAAGCACATCCCACAATTTTTGCTTTTATTAAAGAAAAATTTGCCTAGGGACATTTAATCAAATTAAAATAATTTATATAAGCAGAGAAAATGATATGGCGGAGCAGGAATATTGATCTAAAAAGTTTGAATAACAGAATTCAAACTTTGCTATGAAAGACGGACTGCTACTCCAAATCAAAATTAACGAACGATAACTCTAATCTAACCTGACTATAGTGGACAATATTCTGCACTGACGTCCCGGCCGGGTGATCTCTTACGTACACAGGTATACGAGACTGGGAAAAAAGTAATAAAAGAAACGAAATGAAACAGATATCAAACATACCTTCCTCAATTGAGTAGTTTAAGAAACATATTCTTAATCGAATGCATGCTTATTTTAGTTATTTTTGATATTCAATCAATATGCAAGTATAAGTCAACCACTCATTCAAAAATTTCTCAGCCAATTGTAATATTTCTACTTTGAATTTTTTACGAAACTCAAAATGAAAAATCATTTATTCCAGTATCATGAATTCATACTATGTATGGATGAGAAAATAAAATTTAAAATAAATTTCGGTATATAATTCGTTATTTTATTTCATAACTGATGTTTGCCATTTGCCACTCTCTTTTGCCATTTTTGAATACACAACAATTAATCTTGGAATTATACTTTGTTTCAAAAGGTTGGTGTATGGTAATCTTATTTTTTCTAATAAATAATTAAAGGGCTTGCCTAATTGGTAAATTACTAGTTAACTGATGTGATACGTAGTATTCAAGAGTTATCTCTCTTGATCCTGTTTTAGGCAGTTGAAGACAAACTCGTATATATAAAATAGGTCTAACAAGATAGAGCACATGCGCTGCATGACGTCAAAACTGTTGTTTATAAAACAAGGTAACTCAGAACAATAGGTTAACTAAATACCCCTGTCACATAGAAAATAAGGAAACAGAAGAAAGGAAACCATAGTCCACCTAAAAGCATTAAACGACAAATGATTAATTGTTAGCTCTGTCACAAAACAGGAACCAAGCAAATGTTTTAAGGTTCTTCACATCAATCTATTATTTTCTCATTCTCCCAATAACTCTGTTCGGATGGTGACCTTCCTCAAGTCCTACCCAGTGTCAACAGCCAATCTGTGAGACATCGCAGCTGCCAAAATGCTTCTGCTACCAAGACATGCTAATCGGGGCTTTTTGAACACCTGGCTTCCACGTAAAAACGTTCAGAGCAAAAGACTTCTCATCTACCTGTTTTCTATAAAAATTATATTCAACACAAAAGTACTCCGGAACTGATATGAAACGAAAGACGGTTGAGTTTCTAACTGAAAATATCTATGTGGTTTTTGGAGTCCGGTCTTCCAGCAATCTTTTGGAATTCTCATGGGTACTATCTGTGCCCCGTTATTAGCAGACCTGTTTTTTTGTATTCCTATGAAGCAGAATTTATTCTGTAGAAAAAGTTTCTTGCTGTGGCCTTCAATTCAAACATATTGATATATCGACAACATTTTATCAATTAACAATTATATCGTATATTCATTTTTATTCCTACTTTGATTCGATATATCCATTAAACTCGGAAAGACACCACAGAGTCTAAAACATCTATTTAATATTTGAATATTTGATGGCAAACTAACAACTCAACTTTCTAACGCCAACTTCCCTTATTTATGTAGCAATATATTATAATCAACTGTATATAGAGTTTATGTCTCACAGTTAATTGGATACGCTAGCGCATAATTTTCTAAAACGAGGCAATTTATTGACAAATAATTTGATGATACAAGGATTTCAGCAGTTTCCTTTACACTCTTTGTTTATGATGTGGATACTAAAAAATTCCAAGGAACTGTTGGAACATTTGAAATCACAAAATTTTACCAAAATCAACAACATAAAAACTTACGACTTTTCAACTTTATATACAACTATTCCCCACGATAAATTAAAGTCCAGAATTTCTGACATGGTTGACAGCTGCTTTTTCAATAAAAATGGAACTCGTAAATTTAATTACCCTGTCATTGGTCATTTGCAAGTTACTTTGTTAAAAAACAATCTGATTTTACACACAAGTACTCTGAAGTTGACATTAAAAAGATGCACGAGTTTCTGATTGACAATATCTACGTGGTTTTTGGAGACCAGGTCTTCCAACGATCTATTGGAATTCCCATGGGTACCAATTGAGCCCCGTTATTAGCAGATTTATTTTTGTATTCATATGAAGCAGAATTTGTTCAAAATCTTTTACGTGAAAAGAAGAAAACACTTGCTGTGGCCTTCAACTCGACATTTAGATACATCGACGACGTATTGTCAATTAACAATGGCTATTTCCATTCTTATGTCGAGATGATATATCCCGGTGAACTTGAGATAAAAGATACCACAGAGTTTGACACATCTGTTTCATATTTGGATATTTTATTAGAAAAAGACATTTATGGTAATCTAACAACAAAGCTTTATGATAAACATGATGACTTTAACTTTTCAATCGTCAACTTCCCTTACTTATGCAGCAATATACCCTTATCACCTGCATAAGGAGTTTATATATCTCAGTTGATTCGATACGCCAGAGCATGCTCTACGTATGAACAATTTCGAAAACGAGGTAAGTCATTGACAAACAAGTTAATGAAACAAGAATATCAGCAGTTTCGTTTAAAGTCATCATTTCGTAAGTTCTATGGTCGATACAATGACCTTGTCAGCAAATACAATCTTTCATTCAGTCAAATGCTGACTGACTATTTTCATACTAATTGTTAGACCATTATTTACACACTGAATTGTCGATGGATTTTCCCGTTATTTCCCGATCATGACAAGGAGCACACGGGGGGTGCGACTGGTCGGCAGGGGATGCTCACTCCTCCAGGGCACCTGATCCCACCTCTGATGTCTTAGAGGTCCGTGTTTACTCTGCTCCTATTTTGTAATGTTTAATGGACTTTTGAGCTCGAATACTGTTCGTTATCTCCA